AGATCTGATTTAATTTATCGTTTCAAAGTATAATTATTGCTCGACCTTGGCATTTTCTCCGTCCTTGAATAACTTAACACAATTGATGTGAAGTCAAGTGCATACTCTGATAGGCAAAAAATAAAATAATAGATTTGCCTAGTGTTGAAGTTGTCAAAGAATGCATTTAAATCACCAGTAGTGATGCTTACTTGCTGCTCTGCTTTGAATACAAGTCAAGTCAAATGTATTCAAAGTACAACACCCATATGTGTTTCAAAACCACAACTACCCAGCTGACTCCAGGATTTGATATATGAATGTATTAAAGAAAAGGCATATTTCAAACATTTTATCAATCGGCGACACATTGCCAATTCGTCATTCAAAAGAGGCAATAACCGGAAGACAGACTGTGTGATAACCGAGAGAAGAAGAACAGACTGCGTGATATAAACAAACAACAAATAGCGTGTGCGTTCCATTTTCCCTCAACAATGAGAAGCTCATGGGGCTTTCCTGAACCTGTGTCGAGAGCTGGAGTTAAATTAAATCTCAAATTTGCCTTCTTAATAGTTTGTTTGGGTCTCTCACTTCCGTTTCGCTTCTCATGCACTGATTCGCTAGCTGAACAGCCAATCAGAGTGATTTATTCGGCCGATTGTTTTCGTCCGAAAAGGTGTCGGGTCGGCTGAAAAGACCCGACGGTGCGGGACACACCAATCCGAGTAGGGCGTGTCGACGTTCATCGTCGGCCTGACGCCCACCAACGCCGATAATCGGGTTGGTGTGTCCGTACCTTTAGTGACACAGGAGAGGTTGCATGTAACAGTGGATCCATTTTCTATGCTAAAAATAACATGGAGTTAGGGAAAACTGTGCTTATATATTTTGACAGGAATGAGGGGTTTAACATTACTTGAGGACGATCAATGCAAAGCCACAAAGCTTGGTCCAGATGGCCTTTCCTGAGGATTAAGATCAATTTATGAAGCATGTTGAAACAGTCTGCCTTTGACAAGAGCCTGTCCTATTAAACGGGGCCTAATCTTCTTTACTTACAGACTAATGGTAAGATGCTTTTCAGCATGTTCAGAGGATGTCCATTTCAGTCAATGGAAAGAATTTCTTGGAGCAAATATACAGTTGCAAGAAAAAGTATGTGAACCCTTTGGAACTACCTGGATTTCTGCATAAATTGGTCATAAAATATGTTCTGATCTTCATCTAAGTCACAACAATAGACAAACACAGTCTGCTTAAGCTAAAACCACACAAACAATATGTTTTTATTGAACACACCATGTAAACATTCACAGTGCAGGGTGGAAAAAGTATGTGAACCCTTGGATTTAATAACTGGTTGACCCTCCTTTGGCAGCAATAACCTCAACCAAACGTTTCCTATAGTTGCATATCAGACCTGCACAATGGTCAGGTGGAATTTTGGACCATTCCTCTTTACAAAACTGTTTCAGTTCAGCAATATTCTTGGGATGTCTGGTTTGAATTGCTCTCTTGAGGTCATGCCACAGCATCTCAATTGGGTTGAGGTCAGGACTCTGACTGGGCCACTCCAGAAGGCGTATTTTCTTCTGTTGAAGCCATTCTGTTGTTGATTTACTTCTGTACTTTGGGTCGTTGTCCTGTTGCATCACCCATCTTCTGTTGAGCTTCAATTGGTGGACAGATGGCCTTAAGTTCTCCAGCAAAATGTCTTGAGAAACTTGAGAAATCATTTTTCCGTCGATGATGGCAATCTGTCCAGGCCCTGAGGCAGCAAAGCAGCCCCAAACCATGATGCTCCCTCCACCATACTTCACAGTTGGGATGAGGTTTTGATGTTGGTGTGCTGTGCCTTTTTTTCTCCACACATAGCATTGTGTGTTCCTTCCAAACAACTCAACTTTGGTTTCATCTGTCCACAGAATATGTTGCCAGTAGTGCTGTGGAACATCCAGGTGCTCTTTTGCAAACTTCAAACGTGCAGCAATGTTTTTTCTGGACAGCAGTGGCTCCCTCCATTTTACGACCAACTTATACAGAAATCCAGGTAATTCCAAAGGGTTCACATACTTTTTCTTGCAACTGTAACTAACTCATCCATGATACAGAGCTTAAGAACAGAAGGGGCACATTGCAGGCTTCTTTCTTTTTGAGAAAGCTTCTAGTTTGGGCTTTTTTAGCTGCAATGGATGGGGACACAGTTAATTAAATCTTAGCCACTCTGGGTTAGCATGACTTCATAAAACTGGTTGTGTGGATAAGATGGCTAAAAAGTAGTCGTGGTTGTTAAAGTTTGAGCCAGATTAGTTGAAACATCTCAGACAGACACCAGAGAAGGGATTGAGTCTCACGCATCTAACAAAAAAAACATCTCATGAAACAGACAACAAGCATAACATCTGCCATTTCTTAGCCAAGAGCTTTAAGTTAGCAGCTTTAACAATCATACTAGTGTTTTTGCATGTTAAACTCTAACAAATCCTTCATCACAGCCTTTCTAAGCCAGCCACTGCTTTCATTTCAGTATGTTATGAAAATGATCTTGCAAATACTTTGACAAATTGTTGGCCATTTAGCCTTCTGTAACTAATTATCTTGTGGTATTGCAGTTATGGGAAGAGATGATTTTTTTTTTAGAATGCTTGCTGTAGTTGTTTTAATGCTCAACATTAACATTCCGTGGCTTATCCTTCTAGCAACGTACATGTTTTGCTATAGCCAAAGTTCACTGAAGTGAGAATACGGTTGGGAATATATGAGCGATTATGGCATTTACAGCAAAATCACTGTTTACGGTATTTATCAGCAAGCTGGTCAGTCCGGTGAGCTGTCTCCACCAGATCAAAGCTAGCACATCTTAGATTTAGTCAACAAAAGCACAAAGCAAACTGTTTTTCAAATTTGAATTTCTCGTAAGGTAAATCAGGCTATCCTCGAAAAAAACCTGATGCGTTTCTTTAAAACCCTGCACCAAGTAGCTGACTATAAGCAAATCTTGAACACAACAGCAATTGTTACCATAACACAAAGGCAATGGGGGAAAGCCAGGCACTGTAACCCTAAAGCAGGGTAGAAAAGGAGGATAAAACAGCCTAAAACTGTGTCGTGTCAGTTGTGTATAGTTGGCTTTAAAGTTGAGCCAAGGATCTTGCTTTTGTGTGCAGGGAGTATGCCTGTTCAGGGACAAGGGCACTCTCACAGTTTCAGTCTTTGTCTCTGAGGGGTTTTGCTGCAGCCTAGAGACACAGCAGGCTAATTGACGAGTGTCGGGCTTTGTTTTATCTTGGCAGCCTTGCAGCAATGCCAATTTAATGTTGCTAATGCACAGATGGCATGCCATGGAGCTGAATGGCCGGCAAGAGTTTCAGACTGATTCTCCATGCAAGAGCTAGAGTCCCCTTCTGATGTCAACACCCCCTCCATGCCCCTCTGGATCCAACATTGATAATCCTTACAGAGGTTGGCCATACACTTAGAAAGGTCCCCTATTATATTGTTTTTCATCAATATATTATAAGTGTTTGGCTCGAAATATCAAACAGATCATGCATTGTAGCAAAACATAAACCTCTCTGTTTCAGCCCTGTTTCAAAAGTGCTGATTCTCTATCTGTTACTTTAGATCAGTGGTCACCAACCTTTTTAAGCCCAAGATCACCGACCTCGGCCTAGGTGAAAGGCGAGATCTACCTATTGCAGAATTGAGTGAAAAAGACGGCCCAGACAATGCTTCCAATTTGAGGCCTTTTATATATGCTAATTGCATCTGAATTACTGTTACAATGAAGGCTCCATAATCAACTCACAGCATATAGGCAGGGGTAAAGTGCTATGTGCGAGTGGGGGGCGGACCTCACCTCCTCTAGGGGGGTCCTCACCTCCTCCAGGGGGGTTCGGGGGGCCCCCGGGAAGATTTTTTTTTAAAAATTGAAGATGAAAGCATCAATCTGGTGCACTTTGAGAGCAACATGAAGAGATCTATGGATTCATCTCTCAGCACCCATATGAGACAGAACTGTAAACAGATTTTCTTTTTCTTTATGGATATTTTACAAATCACTCCCCTTTTAAACTGTATTCTTGTTTTACTGCCATATAGTATTTCATACCTGTTTTTCATTTATTCTCTTATTGTTTGTATAACTATAATGATCATATGAAGGTGTACCGCGGAAATAATCTTTTGAATAATTTGTGACAAAACCGTTATCCATTATATAGTAGGTGCGTGGCGCAAATCGAACACGGTGAACTAACTGCATATAAACTCTGTAGAGTTATATAATTAGTAATTGGACGAAGATACACTTGGAGTAGTACGTGTTCTCTCCTGCGTCCTGACGTTAAAGCCCAAAGTCACTTACGGTGTCTCCGTTCCAGTGGTAGGTTAGTCCTTCACGTACCTTATGGGCGCGCACACCCCGCACGCACCCCCTCTCCCCGGCCCGATCGCCCCCGGCACACCAATCGTAGACCAAACGATCCGACGTGATTACCCCTGTATTCTCGACAAAGGGTTGTCGACCTCCTCCAGAAGGGGGACAGTCTGACTCCCCGCGAGTCCACTCGAATTCCTGAGAACCAC